TTGGGCAAGCGGTTAAGACCACTGAATACTGGTGGTTCAGTTCGGGTTCGATCCCAGGTGAATAGGTTGGCTACATGGTTGGTTTTCGTAATTTTCTCCATGGCAACGTGGCAGTTTTTCTTAGAAAGCCCTCCACGGAGGCATCTCTTTCCTTAGACAGATAATCCTAGCATGCTTCGACATAATTATATAAACTAACCATAAATGTAATCAAATTTTCTTTCACAGCTCTTTGCTTTAATCATTTAAGCAGACAAATATAAAATCTTTATGCGCATTCTAGAGCTGTTTCATTCTCTGCCCTCTAGCTATCGGTTTCTTTAGAAGTTCTTTTTCATTATACATCCCATTTAAAATTGGAAGGATTCTTTGTTTCTAAAACTTAAGATACTCAGTATCGCCTTTTTCATGGAAAAAATTAAATCCTTTTACCTAAATTCAAATAAATTTTTTCAAAATGTATTTTTTTGGGGGGGAGGGGGGTCATCGCTTTATCCACCAAGGCAATGACAAGAACAACCGGGCAAAACGCTATGTCACCGATGTTGGCAATCCAGAATTTTATGAAAATATTATTTTATTTGCAAGCCACTAATGGTTGGGCGCTTGGAATTCGAGGACTATGTTTGTGTTTTCTGCTTGTTATTAATGTGTGGAGTCCTGCCTTCTAGTAACGAATCGTAATCCCACTGTGGAGTTTGCCTGCTAATGAAAAAGAAAGGGTATTATCGCATTATCTGTTCACACTTGGCAAGAATTACCGGGCAATGCACTATGTCGCCAAGTAGGCACCCTAGAATTTTAAAAAATGCATTTATCTGACAATCCACCAATGGCTGCGCGCGCAATATGGTAGCGGATAATCCCGCCATCTCTCTCGGTACTGGTGACAGCAATTCGTGCGGTGTTGAAATTTTAGGTTCATGTTTGTTGTGAGTAGTGTGTGTGTTCTTGTAATAAATCCTAATGCTATGTCGAAACGGTTGCCTGTTAGAACAAAGTGCAGAAATGCGCATTCAATGAATTTAATTTGTGCATTTCTGTAACTTTTTTAAAGTTAAAACAGGTCAATGTGTACCCGGAGAGCAATGCCGAGAATTTTGCAATTCTTAGACTTCTTTTTTTTAAGCAGATCGCTGTGTACACGGACAAAAGGACGAGAAAACAGAAAGTTAAGTGTTTAATTATGGCTGTTTGTTGCATTTTTAATTGTTTAGTTGTTACTGTTCTATGAAATTTTGTGTGTTTCAGTATGGATATTTGCTTTATGTAATTTTTAATGTTTCATTATGCATGTTTTTTTAGTTTATAATTTGGCTATTGGTTTTAGTGAGCCAATATTTTTTTTAAAGGCTATGGTTTTTCAAGTGTTCGGTTGTCGAAAAATTAGTCGCTAACGACTGGCGACTTTGCGGGAGAGCTGGGAGGATAACGTGAGAGTATCCTGTCTTTTCAAGGATTCCTGAATTCTAGAAACAAAAGTGTCAGAAGTACATCATCATCTTCCTTTAAATTACTCATTCATTTTCGGCAGCTCTTTCTTCAGTAAAGTCTGTCTACCTGAAGCATTTTAAATATCATTTGAGCCTTTTCTTTATGAATACATTAAATAACATCAACGACAGAAACAAAAAAATGTAGTAAAAGGTATTTTCTCCCTCCTTCCACCATGCTCATTTTTCATGTCTTCTGCTTTAAAAGTAATCTAGTGACACCACAGAGGCGCCCGAACTAAAAGGTGGTGGACAATCATTCGTCACCACCAGGATTTGACGAGTGGGTCCTCTAATTTACAATTTTTTTCTCTCCTTCCAGCGTGCCTTCGTGGTGTTACGGTAACATACTAGGCGCGTATTGGAGAGGTAAAAGTTCGAGTCCCGACGAGAGCACTGCACACTTTTAACGGCAGCTGCTTCAAAATAACTTAATGACTCTACAGTAGTAGAATAAAATTGTAAGCTTAAAATGACCGAAGATTTTTCTCTTTGAAAGGGAAGAACTAATTGGACTAAGTCTCAACACTCAACACGAACTTAAAATTTTAAACGCATGACATGAGAAGCTATGCAGCGTAATACCTAAATGTATTAACCCTTTATGTACCAAATTACCTTATTTTTTGAAAAAGAATTTAACTTTTTAAATTATATTTCTTTTATGCATGAGAAACATCTCCCATTAAATTCACAAAAATGCTGCAAATTTTTCACTGCCTTTTCTTTAAAATTTAAAATTGGGACTTAAAAAGTCCGGTTGGGATATAACTGAGCCATTTTATTGATGAGACTTTAAAGCCAGTAGGGAAATAAATGGCTATAGAAGTTTGGTTGCATAATGATACGAGAATAATTAGCAAAAGATTTCCACATTGTGTTGTATGACAATGTTTACCCATGATGCTTGGCTAGATAAAATTCGTTCATTTAAAGAGGGTTACCAATTGCAAAAACCACTCCTAATACCAACCGGTAAAACGCGATAAGAAAGGTGATATTTATTTGTTAAAGTACACTCATATGCTTAAATTCAATAGTCTCCCGGAATCACACTGCATGCAGTACAGAATGGATGAACTAAAAGACACTGATGGATCGGATTTTAATTACACTTTTAAATATTTACCAAAATATATACAAACAATAGTAATAACAATACAAAAAATTTCGAATATATATTTTCTATATAGTACATAAAGGTTAGACCTGGAAGCAGGGCCTGTAGGGTTTCTGCCTTTCGGTGCAAACTCTGCGAGTCCTAAATTTTGCTGCCCAGAGACTAGCTAAATTTTAAAAATTTGCTGCCCAGTGCCACTTCTAAAAATACCCCCCCCCCCGTAAATTTTGCTGCTCAGTGCTTCTTCAAATTCTCAAAGTTTTGCCACCACTAAAAATTCTGCAGCCTGGTACCATAGCACCGGCCCCGCCCGGAGGAAATTTATGTTGGTTACACATCGTAATTCAAGCATCTTGATAGCAAATTATTAAATTTTTAGACATATTTATTTTAAATAATTCTAATATATTGTATTAATCTATAAATAACTTACTTAAAATAAAAAAATAAATAAATTATGAAACTTTCCAAATTTGACAAAACTTGAAAATAAATTATAACAATATTTTCTTTCATTTATTTAGTTATTAAGTTTTTCTGCAACACTAACAGAACCAATTCCTCCTAAGTTTTTGTGTAAATAACTAAACTTTTTTATTTCTTGCTAAAGCTTGACATTTGATGTCATTTTCATTCTCATAAATTTTAAAGCCTTGAAGAACAAATGATTAGAAATCATATTCATCAAGAGTTGCAGAGAGAGGCTCAATTAGTCAATCAGCTTCTTGTCTTAAGATTTACTAATTTTAACTATGGGGGGGGGTGGAAATTTATTTACATATAAGTGTACTCTCAAACAAAGTGATTTATTTTATTACAAAATTTTATATTTGAGTGTATTTTGACAAGTACGAATATAATTAGTCAAATCTGCATTCTTAATCTTTTAAATAAGAATTTGTATGCATCACACTGTAAATTAATTAGTTCCATTTGTAGATTTTCAGGTGAGTTATTCAGGTTCACTTTTAATGATGATGACCATAATGAAAGACTCCATATCATTAAAATCTTTAAATCTATCGCCAAATCCTTGTCGTAATAATGCTATTTTTTTCTCATATTATTGAGATTATTCATTTGAAACATTAGGGCAGGATTTTAGATGTAAGAAATGAATGCAATTTTTTTATTCCAGTTATGTTTTCCATTATTGATATTTAACTTTAAAAGCTTTTGATACAGCATATCATTGATTAATTGTTTCTTGCATTTTAAACATTTAAATGGTCTGTTAAGTCAAGTAAAAATGCTAAATCACAGTCATAGGCTCGAATACAATCCACATAGCGACAAACACAAACCTACTCACTCCACCTCTTTTTCATTAAACAGCAGTTGCACACATGAGTTCAATACATATCTGGATTACTCTTAAAACTTTAAGCACTGTATTTATAACAAACATTTTAAAACAAAGGCAACAATTAACATTGGATGAATTTGAGTGAAACAGAGGCCTAGTAAGTTTGAAGCACAGTGATGCTTAGAGATAAGGAAAAAAATAAAAGATGCATAAGGATACCTGATGATTTTATTGAATGTATTAATTTAAGTTTCCGTCTACGTTATCCATTTAATACCGTATTCATCTTTTTTGTTGTTGTCTTTTATATTTAATGTTTCCATTGTTGGTTATGATTTTGGGTTATAAATTTGTGCACAAAGTATTCTTGCAAATCATATATAATCTAGGAATTAATCATTTCATTTACATTAATTCCTGTTGGAAAATGGTTTTGGTTTATGAACACTCTTCTGGAATGAATTAAATTCATGAATTGAGGAATCGATGTAAAATTTTTTGCTAATGAAAGGTGACATCATAAAATTTTCTAAATCTGTTTGGTATGGAAGATGTATTAAAAAATCTATAAATAATTTTTGTACATTAATACCTCAATTAGTTACTTACATTCTATAACACTGATTATGTTATTAACTAATTATATCTATTTATAAGTATAAATCTTTGTAGATAATTGGCAATACAGCTTCTCGATAATGTCATGATTTCTGATATTTTTCTGAACTCATAGAATGCATGAGAATTAGTACCATAAACAGAGAAAAAAGATGAGAAGATGAGTAATTTATAAAGATTTATGAGGATTTTGTGCAGATTGGTATTTCTTAGTTTCGGCATTTGAAAAAATTAAATTTTTTAAAAGAAAATAAATGCAAAGAATAATAAAATTACTATCAGCCAAAACATTTCTTCTTTAGCATTAATTAAAGCAGGTTAGATATTAGTTTATAAAAGCAAAATGTAACTTTTAAAGTAAAATCTCATCTATCCCTATTTAACCAATGAAACTAATAATTTAATTTCCAGCCTGTAGAAAAAATATTTACCTGATTTACACAAGTAAAATAATCATACACTATTTATAAGAAACAATTATAACATTTTATTACGGTTGAGCAAGATTTACATTAAAAATCAGTTCATAGTAAAATATATAATAAAATTAAAAAGAAATTAAGGAGCACCTTTTCTTGACAACAAAACAATTAAAATTATGAGCTAGTTATACAGATACATTGTAATTCCAAAACACTTTGTTTTTATTAAAAAGCAGTTTATCTTCCATATATTGCACATAATAAAATGAATTACAGCAGACAGAAAAATTATTTTTAATAGTACTTAATAGTAACAGTTAAGACTAATTAATTGAAGACAACTTTGGATTTTTCAGATGGTAAAAAAATATATATATAAATACATATAAAAAATTTCATAAATAAAAATGAAGTAGCTTAAGTATCATAATGATTTCTATTTAAGTAGTTTAACATCTAGAAACACTACAACAGTTACTTCATGGTAATAACAAATATGTGTCTTGTGTGTAATTAAACATCCTCTAAATAAATATTGAAAATGCATTTAGTTAAAAACAAACCAGTTCTTGTTTACTGTAGATCATTTATAATTATAGAAGTGATAGTTGTATAAGTTGTTGTGGTATAATATTCAGAAATAAAGCTGTACAACTGGGATGATTTTTTTTAATGCTATTGCTCTGGGGAAGGGAAGAATGGGGAACTTTAAAACTGGAATTCAAAAGTAAAAAGAATTGAACTAAATCAGTCATTCATGGATATTATTTTAGAAAAAGTCAAGCAATTTTAAAATATATCACTGGCAAGAACATATTTCAAAATTATTCTTTACTGCAAGACAATGATCAAATAAAATAATTTAAGTTTTATTTCAACATGCCGAACAAGTACTAATTTAGAATTCAAACAACAAAAATGAAATATAACACTGATTTTTGTTGTTTCAATTCAAAATTAATAATCATATTGTTTGGAATAACTATGAATTTATTCCCGCCGGTCTACATATGGTAAGTTTCCATAATCTTAAAGAAGGTTTTGTCAACCGCCCAACCAGAATTATGGTTAACAATGCTGATGCCGTAATTAAAGGCCTAGGTTTGAATCCAGAAGAAGGCATGGATGTTTGTAAATGTATAATGTCTGTGTGGCATAGGAGCACTCTAAATATGTGGCAAGCCAAAAGTCCTCTTGAGAGGTGAGTGGAAGGGAAAGAGAGGTGGGAGACCCTTGGACCTGCCCCCCCCCCGTGCTTCCCATCAGAACTGGAGGCAGAACTGAGCTGAGTCGTACTGTCACCTGTATGGTGCTCAAGGCTCTTGCCAATGACAGGTGTAATCTTGCACTCCTTGCCACGATGATTTTCGTGGGCTCATTCTGATGTTACTGTCAGACAAGCGAGATAATTCACAACAGTTAGTATTCTACTAATGAGCTATCACATTTATAATTATTTCATTTAATAAGGTATAAGTTTTACCAGGATAATAAAAAATCAATAGCTCATAACTACACACAAGCATTTATACATTTTTTTCACATTTAATGCAAATATCTGAAAATCCCTTAAAAACAAATAAGTAACAATGAGTAAATATAAAAATAAAACAAATACACAAAATAACTGCAATACTGAATAACAAGGCTCAAAAACATGGCATACTTGTTATCACTTTTGATATAAAATGCTAAAATATATTTCATAATGAAAGTAAAATACTGAATTATCTTTACCGTTTTTAGTTGGAATCCTACTTTTTCAAAGACTTAAAAAATGCTTTGTACACAGCTTCCTTATTTCCAAAATGATTTTTTATGATGTAATGCTATTATTATTATTAACTTTGTAAATCATACATCACTTTAAAAGCACCAGTTCAGAAATTTTCAAACCTCTTTTGCAAAAGTACATTTTCCTCATTCTTATCTTTTTAATTTTTCAGTGAAAAAACTTTTTAGCACCTTATAAATTTCATAAAATTTAAATTGATTTCTAAAACACAGCAATCTTTTCTTTTTTTTTTTTTTTTTTTCCAGAAATGATATACAGTTTAACATAAAAGATTTACACCTATGCATACAATATGACTTTTTATGCATACAATAATGTAAAACAGCTTTACAAGGTATAAATACATTTACAATCACAAAATATATACACCTTCTGCACTTTCTGTGAACAAGCTCTAGTTTTATACATTCAGATTTATGATTTCGTAAGTTCTAATCCAATTTCAGTGTCAGTCACCACTTAATAATGAAATGATTTGAAAATTTGCTCTTCAACAAGACTGTTCCAACCATTTCTTGGCATTTCAATCCTTCTCAGTTACAGTTATTAAAAATTCCTTTCCTTATAGAAAGCAGCTTTCTAGCCACCCTTAAATTTGAAGCTTCATGTTAAGATATTCTGCACAGCATACATTTACTGTTTATGGCTTTTGCCATACTTATCTTCTGGCTTAAATTTTATGCACATTAAATAACAACGGAGATATATTAGGGCTTAACCCATAGTGAAAGTTTCAAAATTAAACAGGACTAACTTAAAACAGGGGTCAGAGGGGCAGGGCAGAGATTAATTACATGGATGGAGATAAAATAAAAGAAATCAAGAATGTGAGCTGAGGTTACATTACATATTCATAAACAAATATATTCACAATTTCTTAAAAAATACAAATTCTTAAACAACATACAGTATTTAATAAGATTTTAACTTACTGAACTCTACATCTATGGTCAAATACATATCTACAACTATTTTAAGATCATATGTCTTTCACCCTTCTCAATTATATGTTGAGATTTTATACGCTGAGTTAGGATTGCATACTACAAGATATTTAAGAAGCTTAACTGACAATTGAGGCCCGGTGGCGCAGTGGCTAGCGCATCGTACAGCAGCACCACAATCCCTGGGCTGGGTAAGGTCGACTCAGCCGTTCATCCCTTGGGTTGATAAAATGAGTACCAAGTTCGCTTGGGGACTAAACACTGGAGGTCCTGCGACAAGCTGACCACTTGTTCAGGGCATATGCTTATGCACCTCGGGGCCCAGGGTCAAGAAAGCAGATTTGGGGCACTACCGCCCTTGGCCCATTAGGGGTGCTGCGCCACTAAGTTTAGTTTAGTTTTAACTAACAATTATCGTATATTCTGGCCATATATTACCTATAATATATATATATCATATATTACCTATAATTTCACACAACATTTATTAATGTTTAGGTATACTCACCATATAATGTGCATCCTTCTCTTTATGAAGAAACCTGAAAGATACATGTGCGATGCCCTTATCTTTTGAAGTCATTCATTCAAAAACGTTTCCCAGGTGTTTGGCAAATGGTAAGGGAAACAATACTTGTGTAGGGGGGAATGTTTGAGGGAGTAAATAATTCTGCAAAGGAGTTGGGCTGTATTTAATGCAAATGTGCATACGAATGTTATTCTAGGGTTTGGGGAAAATGGGGACAGAACTTTGAGTAATAATAATACCCTTCTGAACTGAACGAATTCACGGAATTAAGAGTCGGGTCTGTTTCTATAGTCATTTGAAGCCATGATTTTGAAGTGAATATCTTCAGTAAATCACATTTGCTTTAGTTGAAATACAATTGATCTAGTGCTCCTTTTAGTAGTAAATATGGCTCCTCCAAAAGAAACAGCAGTGCTGGTTTCAAATGCAAAGTCAATCAGTTTGCGAAAGAAAAGGAAATACTGCTGCAGGAAGGATATTTTGTGTTGGTGAAAGATGGAACAGGTGAAGATTATTTATTTATGGATCAGAGTAATCATGGTAGTGAAGATGAAAAAGAATTTGATGATGTGCATGAAAATCTAATGGAAGACGAACTTTTCATGTCATCTGAAAATGAAAAATTTTAAGTTCATAAGGTATGTCATTTCTTTTAAATAAACAGCACTTAGATAAATGTAAAAATCGAATTTCTGTATGCTTATTTTTTTCCTTATATTTAATCTATCATTTTTATACAGAGCGTATAACACGCATCTGTAAATTTTGTTCTTATTTTTTATATTAAAACTGTACGCTATACGTCAGAATATACAGTAAATTTACACAGAGTTATCTAGTAACATTATAAGATATTTAAGGAGCTTAAATGATGGATAAATTTATATTGATTAGACAGAAATCAATGAATATAATAGTATCATTTTCAGAAAAGCTGGAAATGTTTAATCATTTTACATTGTTTTCATCTAATTTCCTCACAAATGGAAATCTGTGATTATAAAAATGATGCTCAATAATGATTTTCATAAAAATGATGCTCACTAATGATTTTTCTGATGTTTCAGAATCACAAATGGAAAATGTTGTAGAGTAGACATTTTTTGCACTTTTTTTAACCTTGTTTTAAAAGCAGTATCACATTCAAAAGAAATGCAAATTTAGCACAGAGACCCCCCCAAAAAAAAAATAAAATAAAAATAAAAAAAAACACATTTAATCACACTATTATTCATAATAACAAATAGTTAACTAATAGAACAAAATGTGATAACTAAAGATCATGTCCATTTTCAATGAAATGAGAATGATATGTACTTTATTATTAGGGTGAAATTATCATAAATTAGCAGGTTAGCATGAATCCTCCTAAAAGATCACAGAATAATATAAATGAAATGATATATTTAAACAGTGTTTTCTTATTTCAATTATTTTAATAAAATGATATGACTATTATTATTGGATTTAATGCCAAAGAAAGGGTATTGGACTCTAACCTTATACTTGCATTACAATCACAATATTCTTCATTTATGTAAAGAAAATAAATTTTTCGCAAGAATATTGTTTTAACTGATGACTGACACCTTAATAATGCACAAATCAGCTTGACAAATAACATTTTTCAAATCCCTGGAGAAGCTAACAATGGTCCATTAAGAAATAAAACTCCATTATTTCATTTTTCAAATTTATTAGAAATTTTTAGATTATTCAAAAATTAAATTACTTACAGAAAAGATAATAATGGTGGATTATTTGGCATCTCAACAATATACAAGTAGGTCCCAATTTAAATATTTGGCAAGAAGACATTCCAGAATTCAGACACACAAAAATGCAAATACATCTTCACACACACAACTGATATTCACAACAATAACATGTTTATAAAACTCACATTTGCCTTTCGTTTCACATACACAAAAATTTTTTATAATATTTTGAAAATCAATATTTTTTATTAGTTTGAAAGAAAAGGCAATTCAACTTCTAAAAATTTTAAAATTGTATAATATAGAAAATATATAAAACAGAACACAAGTACATTAGATGAATAAAATAAATGCAAAAAATAAATTTGTAATTATAAGTTGGTTTATATTACCATATCCATAAAAAATATTAAATACAATTATATGAAATAATTAAAGCACATATTTTTATAGCTACAAAGATACCTGTCTTTCATGAATTAATTCATTGAAAAGCAGGAACTCATAAAGTAAAGTATTAATTTAAAATTTACCTCTCAGACATTTATCAAATGATTGTTCATGCATTGGGTGGAATAATTCGGACAATTTTCAATGTTTTAAAAAGATAAATTCATAATTCCAAGGTTTTATACTGTACTCAGTAGTTAAATTTTGAATAAACTGAAATTAATGTATTTTTGAAATACCTTTCGTAAAAAACACTAGAAACTATAAACTTCATTAATTATTTGAATTTTAGGGAGAAAGTACTTACCTAATAGTAACTACCACTTAATTCTGATTTTTATGAAATTCATGTTTCAAATGTATTACTCAAGACAAATAAATTAACTACAAGTTATACCATTATTCAACAGATCTTTCAAAATTACTTATGCAGACCTGAAGTATCAAGCTCTTTCATATGCAGTTTCAATTATATTAAAATACATATAAAGAGGATATTAATTTTGCTAAAAATTAAATTTTTTCCCATACATAAAATTTGTCAATCAGATCGAAGTCTCAAATATTATGGACAACTGCACACAAATATACATCAGAAAATTGCCAGTATTAGTATCTTCTTACACAATGCATATCAGCTTTATTTATGCAATAATCTGCTCATAATAATTACAAGAACAAACACAAATTACAAGATTCTAGCATGGAAAAGTAAATGAGTAAAATGAATGTATATCCTGTTAAGGTTTATACACTTTTATGTAAAATCAATCACTATCCATCAATAACTGCCTATGAAGCTTCACCTTTTTAAAACTTATTATGCATATAACATAGTAATATTTACATGTAGCATATGACTTATTATGCATATGACTTTGATGCTCAGCAAATTTGGCAAACTAACAATCCTTTAATTTGAAATTACCATACTTCCTCGCATATTTGTTCCCCTAGTTACTGCTAGGCTCTGAAAATTTTAAAAATACTCAAATAATTCCCCCTTCCTCTATTGTACATAGTTTTTAACCTGTGAGGGCTAGTGTACTGGCAAATGATATTTTATTCCATTGATAATTTTTATTTTTATTCAAGGTATTCAATTTGCTTTTGCATTTTTGTATTAGCATTTCATCCATTTTACTTTCCCTTGCATTTATTATTTTAAACATATTTTGTGTATATTCTTCATGAAGCTATTTGGACATGACAGGTATTCTCATACTTGAGAAACTTTCCAAACATACAATTTCCCCTTACTTCTATTGTTTACATTCCCCAGCTCACTGCAGCTTTATCTACTGCTGATATGTTCCATATTTTGAAACCCCGCTCTTTTGTTCACCCCCTTTATTGTTCATGCCTCCAATGTCCTATTTGAAAATTCAAGACTCATTCACATGAGGTGCACCTGGGGCTTTACAGAGTAACTGAGACAGCATAATGTGTCCAGCTCAATTACTGTTAGACATCAGTTCAATACCCATCAGAATACTGCAATGTTCAATACCCATCAATATTGCAATGTTGATATTAATAAGTATTATTACTGGAATGTAGGTTATTTATTATTTTTATTTATTATTTATTATTACTGGAATGTAGGTTATTTATATTTTTTAAAAATAGTATTGTGATAGTTACTAGTAGTTCATGACAATGTTTCAAATTTCATGACAATTTCTATTACTGTAAACTCGTTCTTCAGAAATTAAACTAATTGTACAATCCCCCCCCCCCGATTTTAAGATGATAAAATTGCTAAAAAATGGGGGGGAATATGCGAGGAGATAGGGTATTTATTTCTTAAAATTTTATTATAAAGCAAAAAATTAATGAAATAACGAGTTCTATTAATCTACAAACATGTTAACAATCACAATATCTTATTTTATTAATCAAAAATTCATTATTTAAAAAAGCTCTGAATACTGAGAATAACATTACTATGAATTACACATCAGTTGAAAGAGTGTTACCACCTAATAATCATTTAATGACTGTAATACCAAAAAAAAAATATTAAATTACATACCTCATCATGACTGAATCTGATTTATCACTCAAACTTTGAAATGCCTCGCTTAATAAGGAGATGAGGTGTTGGTTAAAAAAGCTCCTGCTGTAGATATGTTCATACCATATATATATATATATATATATATATTAATTTTTGCTCATACTTAAATCACTACAGATTCTCTTCACACTTTCAATATATTCAACTATGATCTTCTCTATTCAAATGAAAATTATCATGCAAAATATGACAAAAAACACATAGTTATTAATCTAGATAATATGAAAAACGAATCACACTGAGGTTCACAAATAACACTGAAGTAAATATCTACATATAGTCAAAAGGATTATTCTAAATTTTGGAAGGTTATTTACAATTATATCTACACATTCTTATGAAAATTCCATCCATTTAACTGAATGGATAACAAAGATCTAGTTTCATATTTAATACATGATCATAAATACCATAAAAGCATTAAATATATGGTAGGTAATAAAAAAATGTTGATTATTGCTAAAAGAACATTTATTGCAATATTACAGAATAAGAAACAAGTCCATAAGTAAGATGCTGTAATACATTTATACAGCCATACAAAAAGACCTCGTATCAGAACCATAAAAAAAATTATGTTGCTCTCATACAATGCATATACTTCATTTTTGAGCTTTTAAACTATTTTAATAGCACCCCATTTGCACAAAAATGAGGTGAGGTAAAACAATAATATATTTTCCTTTTTGGGTAACAAGATTTCTTTAAAAAAAGGGGGGTAAACAAGTAATGCAAAAGAAACTAGAAATACGTGCAACCATAAATATACAAGAATACATCATACATAGAAGGTGATCAACATTACTCCATTTGCTAAAGCTCTCAAAACTACACAGGATGCACGACAAGCATGAGTTGACTTAAAGATTATACCCTGGACGGCTGAATCACTGTGTTGTTGTTTATTCTCACAGTTCGCTCTGTATTATCATTGTAATCTGCATGATCCAACAGGTAACTTTGCTCCAGATCAATTTCAAACCCTGGATTAGCAATTATTCGGGGTAAGGATTCTTCTGGAGTTTCTGTTAAATGAAAATAAGCATAAAAATTTTAGACAAACAAAGCAAAAGCACACAAATTTACACACTCTAGAGATGCAAATTTAACCTTAATCCTTTCTGGCATGCTGCCTTTTAAAGTTGGAATTTCAATCAAAGAAAAAAAAATGGTAGGCAGTCATCAGGCCTAGAGGAGGATTTGTAAAGAATTACTTACCATTTTAATCCTGTGGGTGTGCCTGAAGCGGGCTCATTGAATAAATAGAGCTTCGAAAACAGTGCTGAAGTGAGCATTGCTGGGAAGCATATAATAGAGTAAAAGATTTTGTCTATGATTAAAAAACACTAGATTCTGAATACGGTAGCAGATTTAGGATTACCTAGGGTGCATCACGGGGTGCTACTCTACCCCTCCAAAAGCTCTTCTTGGTTATATGCATATAAATGAGAAAAAAAAGTAACTGGGCTATATGATATTTACACTTCAGTCTATTTTTTTCATGGTCGTACTTTTCGAAGAAAGTGGCACCACCTTTAGAAAAGCACAACTCAATATTGCATGTTTTGCACATGTACCAGGATCCGTGTCAGATTCACTATCTGGAGGATAGGATATTCTTGTAGCATTTTCAAATCTTCAGAAATGGTCAGCCCTCTCTGATCCATTTGCAAAAAAAAAAAAAAAAAAAAAAAAATATTACATTACTCAACCTGAAGGATACTGAAAAGTTGGAAATGCAAATAAAGTTTGCAAGCTGATGAAATCAATATATGGACTAAAATATGCTGCTAGTGCTTGGAATCTGAAAATTAGAAAAAATACTTCTAAACATATCATTTAAACAAAGTAAAGCAGACCCATGCTTATTTTTCAAAAACATCAACGGAAAATTCACATATATAATATTATATGTAGATGATATACTTATAGGAAGCAAAAGAGAAGAAGCTGTTATGGAAACAATCTAACAACTAAAAGCTGAACTAGAAATCAAAGACCTAGGAGAAGTCACTTACTACCTCGGTATAATCATCGAACGATCTACATATGGAACCTTTGCCATAAACCAAAAGAACAAAATCGAAGATATAGTTAAAAAATTTGGACTTCAAGATAAAAAACCAACATATACACCAATGGAAACAAACTACTGCAAACTAGAAAATGAAGATGATCTTCTAGAGGATAATACAGAATACAGACAAGTAGTAGGGGCATTATTATACATTGCAACAATCAGCAGACCAGATATAGCAAGCGCCGTCAATCTACTAGGTAGAAAGAATGAAAAACCTTGGAAAATAGATTGGAATGCTGTCAGGAAAGTCAATTGATACTTAAATACAACTAAAGATTTGAAGTTGGTCTTTAACAAAGTTCAAGAACCTATACTAACTGCATTTTCAGATTCAGGTCGTGGAAATGACAGGAAAACTAGAGAACTTTCATTAGCGGATGCTTATTCAAACTAGGAAATAACTGCACTCCGTGGTGCAGCAAAAGGCAAAACTGCATTGCATTATCTTCAACTGAAGCAGAATATACTGCAGCAGCTAATACAGCACAAGAAGCAAATTAAAATTTAAAATTTGTTACTGTTAAATTTACTTAAAGATCTGGGACTAAAACTAAACCTGCTGATTACTCTCTATGAAGATAACAAGTCATGCATCAAACTTTCATAAACGGGGAAAAATAGCTCCCGAACAAAACATATAGACGTCAAATACCACTACTTGCGTGAACTTTACCAAAAAGGGATCCTGAGCCTAGACTATTGCAGAAGCTCCGACATGATTGCAGATCTGCTCACCAAACAGCTAGGCAAGCCTGTGTTCATGAATTGATACAAATGGCAATGCTGCCCATCAAGTAGGGGTGTTGGTGTGCAAATTGATGATGGACTGGAAATAGTGCAATAAACAGTGTAATCTGGACACCCTGCATAGGAGTTAATTGTGTGACTCGCTTTCTGCTCTACTTTCCTTTCTCACTCCTTCAAAAAAAGAGTTATATAACTCTCTTTTGACATGTATTATGAAAACTAATGAATCTCAATCTATTATTATGTATAAATAAATATGTTTGTTACCTCACGACTTCCGTCTACAACCTCTTTTTTGATTAATCCTCTTAAATAGCTATGATCATGCTGACACTGCACTGGATACAAGGTAAGAAAAATTATTCTACTCTCTACTTTGGTATTTTGTTGTAAAAATGTTTACTACAAAAAATATTTACATCAGTTCACTCAAAAAGTTAACTGAGTGGTGAAAGGGCCCATCATGGCTCTTTGAAACTTCTGAGAAATACTCACCTGATAAAATATTTTATGAAAAGTATATGAGGGAAAAAGAAAAGTTTCACTGAGCATTATTAATTTTTCTATACGTATACATTTTATGCGGTGGTATTTTCTAAATAGCAATCCCTTGTTCTTCTTGTAGCTTAGATATTATGTTTTATAGATAATGTGCACACTGAATGTAAAGTGAGAAAAATCTGTACAATTTTCATTACCAAAGAAGTAACATGTAGAAAAAAATCTAATTAAAAGAATCCAAACTGAAAATTTCCTCGTACTTTATAATACACCTATCTGTAATGTATTTAAAGATGAAAAGGGACTTATTAGAATTAATATATGAATAACCAAACTTATAGATTCTCCATCCTTTATCTTGCCTATATTACTGCCTAACAAATTTATTTTTACTCAAAGATTAATTGAACCTTTTCGTGAGATGAACTGTCACGCAGGACAGTAGATTCTGTTAAGCATTTTATGTGAAATATTCTGGATCATCAGAAGTAGGAGAACTGTTTGTACTGTTATAAAAAATTGTATCGAATGTAAATGTTATAATCTTAAAATTCAGTTTACAGAACCTGTTCCTTTGTGGGATGTTAGAAACCAACCTCACAATTCAACCAGATTAAAGTTAAACGATCAAAGATTTCTTTTCAAACAGTGTGAAAGAACTGAACTGAAGAGACTGCACCTTTATTTTTTTCCCCTTTGACTATGTATGCAAGCCTGCAAGGCAGTAGTGTTAAACCCTTTAAGAGTATTTCTTTTGTTATTAATTAAATATTATTTAACTATTGATGGATCTCTTAGTGATTTATTTAGATCATGGGGTCTAAACTATGACCGTTTGAGGGTCACATAGCAAAGGAAAAAATTTGCGGGGCTGCATTGCATAAAAAAATTGTGGAGCCACACATACAATATTTTTTAATAAATTGAAATAAAAATTAGCTCTATGTTTTCTATTACATTAAATTAACTTCTTTTTATTATTTTTTAAAATTTGAATTAGATATGTATAGGTATATATTCATTATTAATTTGTAAAAGTTTCGTTTCATTTAGTTTGGATTTCATAAAGATGGAAAAAATTCAAATTAATAAGATGAATGAATTTGATTTTGTTGAACAAGCAAATTGATATCAGGTTCAATAGACGAGGTGGCAATTCTTAATTGCATTTTCAAGATGTTTGTCCTACTTTTGTTTTTTGTATGCTTCATTCTTGAAAATAATTGTTCACAATAGGTACTGCCAAAAGCTGAAAACATTAATAAAGCATGATTGTAAAAATTAGGATATTTATGGCAGGGTAGGTAATCTTTATAAAACTCAGTAAAGAAACATTTTCAAATTTTTCTTTCAGTTGAATGTCACTTTATAGTTAATATATCATGACATACTAAGATGTTTTTATACTCCATAAATGTTGTAAATACTTTCATAATTTGCATTTGGGCTGCATTTTAAAGGCTTTTGAGCCGCACATGGCTCGTGGGCCGCACTTTAGACACCAATGATTTAGATTATTTGGTAGCTCTTAAGCATCGGTTAGATGTGCAAGTGCCTCTTTAGACTAGTTTGATTTTACAATTACATCTTTTGATGTATTAGAGATTCAAGAAGTTTTATTATTCAAGCTTCTGTCAATAACCCAAATGAATGTGCTGAACACACTGATATTAAATAAATAATGTCCAATAAAAACAGATGATAAAAATAATACCTGAGCAATTTATAAATATAATTAATAATTAATTAGATAATATTATATTAATAGAGAGAATTTTTAAGATCTGCATAAGAATTTATATTTTTTAAAGGTATTCCCATAAAACAATATTTATGTAATGCCACATATGACATGTGAAACATAAAATTTTGAATTGTATGAAAGAGCAGAAACTTTTAAGAATTTAGAGTGACGCAGTTATAAATTAAATTTTAATTATCAAAGTTAAAATACTTCTATGCAATTATAAATTAAAAAATAGGTAATATGTTGCAGTTTATTTTAAAGCTTTTTAAAAAATTTGCTGCTCTTTAGAACAATACTTCAATTATATATTTTCTTCCTATTCTAAGAAAATTTAAAGATGTTACATTTCCATGATAATAAGTTCAAATTAACTGTTAAATATTTTTCCATACAAATTTTTTATTTGTTGCTACTGTTTTTTCAAGAAAGAAGCTTCAAGAAGAATTAAAATACTTGTATTACTCACCATTCCGATGTTCTCGATAAATGAGTGCACAACTCAAGAATGAAAGTGTAAGTACAGTTGCAGCCACCATGCATATTGCAACTAACCAAGCTGTGGAACTAAAGTCTTCAGCATCTTCCAGCATCTTCTCTAATACTTCTAGAAATAAAAATAAGTAAAAAAAGCTATAGATAGTTAAAAAAGTAATTAAAGAAAGTTCTAAGTTACAGAAGATATTTTATATGTTCTGTTTAACACAAAACATACTGCATACTGCATGAAAAACTTTATAATGCATTCTTTTCCTCTTTTCCATATGCCTTCATTGTATAACTGGAAATACATTTAGCTCGTACTCGAGAGCTTCAAGGTTTAAGTCCCAGTGAAGGCATCGCACATTTTTCATGTCTGCTGCTTCAATATAAACTAATAACTCTACAACTTACATGAAAATAAATTCCAGGTTTAGCAGAATTCTGATTCAGTTTTCTTAATTTAATGGACTTTTTCCCTACAAAATTTATGCAAAATATTTCAATATAATAAATAGTTTATCCCAAGTTTATAAATCCTCCCGGAGAAATCTTCATTCAACATCCTTACACAAAAAACAATTCTAGAAACATGCAAATCAAAATTACCCTTTCATTGAATGGCAAATCATTATTTTATAAATTATTATTCCAGGAATCTTTAAAAAAAATATGAGTAGATGAATTATAGTCTCTAGTTATAAGATTCTGTCACTTAAAGTTGCATTCAATTGTTCAGTTGCTTTCAACATGAAATGCAGAAAACTAAAGCTTTTAAAGCCAATGTTCTAGATGCAATGAGTTCTATGCAAAATTTATGGAATGAAGAGACATCAATTATTATCAGTAAATACTTCAAAAATATACTTTTCTAAATAATAATTTATTACATAACATAAATTTTTTAAAAATCCATTATTCATATAACGCATGCAAAACAACTTTAGATAAATACAGATTTTAATTCTTAAATTTTAATTCTGAGCTAAATACATATGTTTTTTGTTTCGATGCATATTTCTAAATCTATTTCAGTATCTTATCAGTAAGCAATGTAATTTAATAAATTTGGTTAACAATCTCAAGCAAATCCTCAAGTTGGGACTGAATCGTATATAATAAATTTTATTACTAATTTAAGAAGCATGATTAAAAGTTTATAAAGTTTAGTAAGCTTCCATTTAATATAAACAAATTAATATAATACTCTACAAAATTTTTTTATGATTTATATATAATATTTAAACCTTTGACTTTATTTAATATATAGAATAATTACCTACTATAAAACTCTAAATTCAAAGATAAAAACATTCTTTAAAAAAAAGCTAATTTTTTAAAATTTATATGATGTATGGCTATATGAGATTTTTATTGGATACTTGGTACAAAAATAATTTTACATTCTTAAACAGCTTTCATTATAAGCATTAAAATAATATTAAACCATTAAATATATTTTTCCAATAATAAGAAAAATATATATGCAATAACTAAAAATGTTCAACCAAAAGTTGAAGAAATTACAAAGTTATGAAATGTAGTACAATATAACCAAACAACTGCAATAATAATAATCTCTTTCTATATATATATATGTAATAAAACCGGGGTTTAATGACACGACATGAATTATTTGATTATGAATGAACCTAAAACTTGAATTAAAATTTTCGGTGAAACAGGACTTTTCCCATGATCCACTGTGAACACAGAATAACAAAACCTGTGTAGATTTCTTCATAAGAACTGGCTGAAAAATGTAATGACAGGGCAATTTTGGAGGCACTGATGTAACATAAGCTTTCATCCTGTTAAGACGCTGCTGCAATCATCTATGTTCGCTTCTATCCTTATGGTATCAAAATTATTCTTGAAATAGGCACGATTGGAGTGCCAAGTGAATTGTAGCCACATACGTGAATTTAAATAAATATGGAACTTAATCTGGCTTGACTGCTTCTTCTTCAAAATGGAAGAATGCTCTAAGCATCAATTATCTATGTCATCAGCATTTCTATGCATCTACATCTTACTGTTCTTCCATCAACGCTTCCAAAATTGTTCTTTTATGTCATATATATATGTATATAATATATGCATAAATGAATCAAGCTGAATATAATTTAGAAGAAATTATAGTCACTGTTAGCATCTAAAAATAAAAAATTACACTGTAAAAATTCATTTTGGTACTTTCAAATTATCCCCATCCCCCCAAAAAGTCATGGAAAAGCAGTATGTTGCCAAAATAGTTATCTAGCAAAGCACAATGCCACAGAAACATATTTATATGGCAACTCAGGTATGTTGCATTGACTGCTATGGTATGGAATTCTTCTACCATTTTGAAAATGGTTGTTGACTTTTTGTTTTTTTGGTGAAAAATTAGTCCGAATGCTATCAAAAGTCGGCAATGTGTTCGCTACGTCACTTTTCAGTGGGGAAAGTATGGATATTCAGAAAATATCATCTTTTTTTTTTTTTTTTTTTCCCCTGCCTTGCAGCACACTACACATATATATAATTGTCAGAAGAAAAACTGCAACCTTAAATTTTAGTCTTCACATCTCCAATTTACGTGGAATGCTTCACATGAAAGCAAAAACATGTTTTTGTATTTTTGATCTTTATTTGTAATAAAAATTATTTAATTGCTAATTGTAATAGGATGAGGTTTTGTTGTTCACACATTTTCAAAGTGTTAATAAATAAATATTATTATTACAGATTAATTTTATTTCAAGCATAAACATAGAAAACAAGTTTTTTATCAATTTACATATTCAAAGAAATACTTACCTGGAGGTTCAATGGGTTTGGCAGTTGAAGCACGGACAGACACTGGTTCTCCAGGACCGAGTTTGTTGGTCGCCCACATTCTAAAAGTATAATCTGTACCTGGTTTTAACTGATAAATAAAGAACTGTCTCTGAGAAGAAATGAAAATATGAATAAATTATGCAGCCCGACAACAAACAAACATTTCAATACATCATTAAGAAGAGAATAAAATTTGTATTTAAAGCAAATTTAGAATGATATGAATGTAATGTCTTAAAATCAAAAGGCCATTTCAATTTAAACAAATGTGCTTCTTTCACTTTAATATTCCTGACTTCATTAAATTGAGATGCAACAATTTTCACTACAAAACTTTTAAAGTACATTTTGCATTATTTTTTTTAATGAATTCAATCATCATTTATAGCACTAGTTAATCAACCTTTTACGAGTTAAAATTAAATCATGAACCAATATTAAAGCATTAAAATCTCAATATTGCATAGCATAATAACTGAGATGATATTTAATATGAAGGTACAATGTAAGATTTTGAACAAAACTCCATTGATTTTTAGGCTGGTCAGACATAGGCTCCTTTTATACAGAAGCCCCCCCCCCCCAAAAAAAAGGAAGCCTTTTTTTTTTTCTTTTGATCCTGAAGAAGACGGACCTATGCCTGATTGATTTCAAAATTGATAAGAGTTTTATACAAAATCTTATACAAACTATGTTCCCCCCCCCCCGATATTTTTAATTTCACATTGGTGAGTTTCTCTTACAGTTTGATAAGAGATTATGCTTAAGCTGATATCTATAACCAACTACTTCACTTCATATATTTTTTTGGCCCAAGAGCGGTCGAGTGGTAAAGTCGCTAAACACTGGTAGTTCGGTCCGAGGTTCGAACCCCGAAAACGGGCTGGCTGCATGGGCATTTTCGTTGTTTTCCCTATGTGCAACGAGTATATGAGCCAGTTTCCTTTAGAAAGTCCTCCATGAAGGCATCCCTCCCCTTATGCAGACAGCCCTTGAGGCTTTGCCATAATCACACACACACATTTTATATTTTCTTTGAAAAGTTTCAATAAATATAACATTCAAGATTCTATTGGGGGGAATAAATGGGAATAACTGAAATTTCAAGTTGATATAACAGTTATAAAGTGTACATCATTCTTTTTATTTGGAATGTTAAACTTCACTGCTTTGGATGAGAGCAGTTCAATTCTGTGAGGCAGGAAATTCCTTTTATGTAGAATTTTGAGGTTGTAATGCAAAGAAAGCAATAATGCAGTTTTTTTTATCCTTTTTTTAATTACTTAATTGATGTCCAACAGAAGATTCATTCCACAAGAGCTATTCAGAAAGTAACTTATGCTTCATCGCTATGATGCTAGAATCCCCTTCTTGGTGCGAGTGCCTATTGAATCTTTACGCATCTGGTTTCAAACACTGGCAGTATGTATTAGCTCTGCTTTGTTCACTTCGAATGTTTAAAATGTGTGTGGCAATAGAAAATCCTGCCAGTTGTGAAGTGCAATCAATGATTAAATGTTTGTTCGCATAAAAACTGAGACCAGTTGTAGTTTATCAGGTATTTTGTTCGGTGTAAGGGGAATGACGTAATGAAAGAAGCCTGAGTTAGACAATGTTGCATCATGTTTAAAAATGGCCATGCTAATGTGTTTAAAAATGGCGAGCAGTGTTAATGATGAACTGGTAGAGAAGTTCAATGAAAAGATTAGCGAAAACCACCGCTTCACAATTTCGGAGCTATCACTAGTTTCCTCAGTCATTTGATTTTTGCTATACAAGATCTAGGCTACCACAAGCAGGGCCGATCCTAGGGTATCGGCCACCCGCATGCAAAAACCTAATGTACTGCCTCTCTACAAACTTTTCCATATTTTGACTAATACTTAATGTTGATGTTATAAACTCATCTACCTCTATAGGAGTAAAAAGGTTAAACATTAATAAAAATGCAAATAAAAATAAAGTGCAAAACTTTATTTTTTGGCCAGCTAATAGGTTACAATAGCAAAAAATATTTTAACAAAATAATAAATGAACAAAAAATATTATTTTTGAAATAAAAATAGACATTTTATAACTAGAAATGCACAACAACAGTATATACTTAAATATAATCTAATAAAAAAGTACTAAGGCATTAATCTCATGAAACAAAAAGTATATAAATCAGTCCTTCTACAAAGACTACTTAAAATAAACTATAAAATAACTTTTCTGGCTTTCTGAAAAGCAAATTTGCCAATAATTTTGGTGAAATCATTTTTTTTAAAGATTACAGATTCAACAATGATGATGATCAAATCTGAAAGCCTTTCTTGTGTCATATTATTTCTCAATAAATTTTTAATTTACTGAAACTTCTTTCACCTGAAGCCACAGAAACAGGTAAGGTTAAAATAATTCTTATTGCTAGAGCAAAATTTGGAAAACAAGGAATGAGATAATTTTTTTTACTATAATTTTCTAATATCTCAATTGGTGTTTTTTTACCTGGAAAAATATCTTTGAATGAAGTTACCATATTTGACAGCATATAAGACACACTTTTTTTCCTAAATTTGGTCTCAAAAAAGTTACCTGCGTCTTATATGGGAAGGACACAAGTTAACTTTCAATACTGAATGCTATTTTTGGCCCGGATAAAGGTCTAGACACAAATAACTTTTTCTACATCTGCCATAATTATTTTTCGCATGCATGAAATAGCTGTCGCCAAACAGCACCAAAGCTCGAAGCTGATGTCGAAGTTCGAACAGGTTCAACGGTCACTTACGTCTATGGAGCCTTTCCTTCTTTGCATAGACTTTCTTTGACTCAGCAGACACACGTATTGGTATTGGTGCTACTCTGTATAAACGTGTCAGTATCGGTGTTTAAAACTATTTGTTTTAAAAAAAATACCCTGTAAAATATGACTACAGGAAACAAGAGATTAAGCTATACAATCCAGTATGAACTAAAAGTGTTAAACTATGCCAAAGTGCATAGAAACAGAGCAGCAGCAAGGCATTTCGGTCCACCACCTACCGAAAAAATTATACATACTTGGCGAATGCAGGAAGATCAATTGAAGACTGCTAGAAACAAAAACATAACCTTCGATGCCCAGCTCCATCTTGGTCTGAACTTGAAAATGCCGTAAAAATGTGGGTGATAGATAAGAAGAAATCTGGGATAAGTGTTTCAACCAAAATGATAATCAATGAGGCCAAAGGATTTGCAGAAAAACATGGGAATCAGAACTTTTCAGGGTCTGAGGGCTGGTGCTACAGGTTCCTGAAAAGGCAAGGCTTCGATATACGGTAGTTTTAACATGTTGTGCTGATGGCACAAAAGTACCGTTTTTCATATTCAAAAGAAAAACTCATTCAAAGGAAAAACTTCCAATGGGTGTAATTGTTCGTGTTCATCCGAAAGGTTGGATGGACGAAGCTGGAATGAAACTGTGGTTACAGAACATATGGGCGAAGCGACCTGGTGGACTCTTAAGAAAACCCTCTCTTTTGGTTTTGGATCAGTTTAGCACCCATAGAACTGAAACCCTAAAGAATAAAGCAAGAGAATTAAAAACCCAGATAACTGTCATTTCTGGTGGACTGACTAGCCAATTGCAGCCTTTAGATGTATCAGTGAATAAGCCATTTAAGGAAAAGGTGCGAGAACGATGGAACAAGTGGATAGGAGAGCCACATTACACCCTCAGGTAGAATGAAGCGACCCTCTATTTAGCAAGTGTGCGAGTGGGTAAAAAGATCTTGAGAGGACGCAAAGGCTGAAGTAATTGTTAAGTCCTTTAAGAAGTGCGGAATCCGTAATGCTCTTGACGGAACAGAAAACGGCGCATTATTCGAAGAATGTGATACTAGCGATTGTGGAAACAGTAGTGATGACGATATTCTCGTTTTCGATGATGATGATCGTGAAAAGGATTTTTATGGTTTTGAAAGTGATTAAAGTCTAACTTCATGATAGGCAATGTTATCCTTGAATCTGTGTTTTTTGTTGTTTCTGCTTTATTTTGTATTATGTTTGATTGCTTGCCGTTCATTCATTTATTCATTATTGAAATTTACATATCATGTTCAAAATAGCTTGCCATTTGTTAATTTTCCTTAATAAAAATATGTTTGGTAATTTCATTCAATGATTGTTTATTTGGCTTAGAAACCACATTTGAAGTGGTTCATGCAGCGATGTCTAAATTTTTTTTTATATTAGGAATTGAATAAATAACAAGAGTAAGGCAACCTTTTATGCTAACACACAGACTCCAACCTGCAGCAGAACTTGTGAGTAGTCAATGCATGAACGACATTTCACAACTTTAAAAATGCGCGCATAACGTATGTTGTAATTAACCATTAATTAATTTTTAATTAATAATTAATTAACCATTAATTAATTTTTAATTAATAATTAATTGCAATCAATTTTGTTACATTTAAAGTCCATATACATATAAAACTGAATAATTAAAATTATATGTACTTGTAAATTATATGCACATTTAATTAGAAATTTTCATTTAATTCCTCAAACATGTATATCACTAAATCTACTATTATATGAAAAAAGCAAGTATTTTAAATCATTACTAATCAGAAAAAATCAGAATCCATAAATCATGTATTTTTATTGTGGATTTGATTTCCGCAGGATAATAAAATTTAAATAACCAAGAGTAATACATATTAGTATTAAAAAAATACTTATAATTTATGAATGCAAAGATTTATATGTAGCATGCTTAGCAAACTTAAGTTCTGATTTTGAGAATGTTTTTTTAAAACACAGTTTTTCATTTGCCTGCATACTAATTTTTTCAAGCAAAACTGCTTCAACAGTTTTAGGACCTAAATTTGGTTGAAATTTCGTCTGAATTTTTTTTAACAATAGAAAAAATTCCTTCGCGAGTTGCATTTGAATGAGGTATTATTAAGAAAGCAAGCATTACAGTAGGCAATACTTTGTATTTAATACACCCATTCATATTTTTTAATTTGGCAATTTCTCCCAATGCTATATCAATACACAAATCTACAATTTCTTTCAAATCATCTACTTGATACATAAAAAACTCAGTTTCCACCTGATTAAGATATTTTTATC